AGAGGAATGTATATAGAAAAATAAGACATTGCTAATTTATTTTTATTATAATTCAATAAAAGTTATTTACAAAGGTCGGTTCATATTTGATTCACCCTCGTAGTTAAAAATAATGTTTAATTTTGGCCATTACTACTTAAAATTAACAATTCTTCTTAGTCTTCTTCCATTAAAATAATCGCTACTCACGTGTTATTTAATTCATGTGTACTTATTTTCACCTGCAAGTTAAACTGATTTATATTCTAACAGACCACATCTACTAAAACTGACGTGAGTCGAACACGACATATTCTGCCGTACGCGTACGACGAGCGTTGCGCACTATGCTAATAAATCTAATAAATCGTAGCTTTATGCGGCACTTGTCGTCGCCTATTTAGATATAGTATTTTCGAACTGTTGGATAGGGAGAAAGGAATCGATTGAGTGGCCAGCTAGATCACACGATTTGACACTCCTAGATTACTTTTAATAGAGATAATTAAAGGGTAAAGTGTGTGTTAAGATTTAAAAACATTCCTTCGTCACGAAATACAATGTATACCTCCTGAAGTTATTGACCATGTTCAAAATGAATTTATTCATTATTCTGGATACTGTCAAATAGCCAAAAGTGTACAATTTGAACATTTAATTTGATTAATTTTTAACGCATTGCCATTAAATTTAGTATTTTAATATGTCAAAATCGTTTTTCCTATTTTCATACTTATAATTATCCTTTCACATGGCGTAATGAAAAATGGGGTTGCCATTAAAAAAATATCGATTACGTCATTTTTCCTACACGAATCATCCTGTATGTATTAATTTAATTTGAAAGAATGGCCAAATGAAAATAAAATTTGCTGTCTTCGAGCATTTTTTCTAAAAGTTATTAATTGACCTTTTAACGATTTTATCTACTACTTTATGAATGCAGGTAGTATTTAATGGACAAACTGAATAACCTCATGTATGATTAATTAAGCTTTCCATGGCGATTTCAAAAATTGAACAATATGTAGGGTGTTTTATTTAAAAAAATTGTCACTGACGTCATTACTCATGTGTTCATCACCTTGAATATACAAATTTTTGTTTAAATTGTGGTACTGAAATTAAAAATCGAAATGTTTCGAGAATGAGTCTATTTTCTATTTTACGAAAGCACTGTATTACTTAATCTGGTATAAAACATAAATATTCTCAAGACAAATTATTTGAAGGTGAAGTTTCTTATACTTCTTTATTATTGTCTCAATCCTGAGAGGTTCATGATCTTATACATCTTAGATAAGAGAGCGTTACGCTTTAATGTATCTTTCTTCTTTTCTTAAGTGCTCCCTTTGATCAGTCAACTTTGGATTCTGAAAAAGGAGCGTAAATTCATGAAATAAAAGAAAATATTTTGTAGGTGTATAATCTGCATATATGGCTCTTATTTTTTGTACTTTAAACAGTAAGTAAAAAAAATAATGTACATCAAAGTTATGTATACCATAGTGTATTCTGATTTCTAGTATTATTAAATTAAAGTTAAATTAAAATTACTAATTCGTTCTATCGAGTAACTATGCTTTATTGTAAACAACTTTTTTCATTATATCTAAAAACCTTGGTTTTTGCAGTACATGCGTTCACATCTTCACGTCGCGTGCGAAAAATAATTTTTATAACTCTGTCCTCCTATGCCAAAAAGCGGTATCTCACTTAAAGAGACTTTAGACAAAATATACATTTTCTAAAAGTTGTTTTTGCGTCCCCTCGAGTCGAAAAATTAATTTAGGTACCGCTGGATTACTTTAAATTATTTTTTGGTTTTGAATATTATTTTTTAAGTTCTTGTGTCATAAATGGATATGTGGCCATTTAGCTTAGTAGTAATGACATACCTCTAAGCCTTTTAGTAAGTACAAGTGAAGTTGAGAAATATAAATTTGTTTTTAATGTTCGGAGTGAGATTTTGCTATTTTTTTTTTATTTTTCTTACGCGTTAAAAAATAGAAAAGTCGTTTTTTTAGATACCGCTTTTTGGCTTAGTGGGGCAGAACAGTTCAGTTGCATAAATAATAATTATAAAGTGTAAAAATTTTATGTCAATTAAATATTTTTTAGCCCCACGTTGGGCGCCTTTCATATCAAAATTGAAAAAAATCAAATAACATCATTTTCCGACTGTTCAGTTACTTTGTTCTAAATCTGTATGGTCAAATGAGAGTCGAAGAAGAGGGCACATTTCAATTGTGTGGAATTTTAAGTTGCTTAATCGACAACTCATGCGATATATCGCGCTAAATATTGTGGTTTACTTATTTCATAATCTCTGTTAGTCTATATATGATATGGTTGGCAGACATGTGCCACTCGCGCTCTTATAAGGATATAAGAAAATTGTTAGAGCTCTAAATTTGCGGAGCGTGAAAGATTGTGGTTCCCTTTAAATTGCTGTTTATGTTTTTGAGGCGCATACAAATGTCTAGATTTTCCATGGAAAGAAGCAGCAAACACTTTAAAGGATTATAGAGTATGCGACGACTGAATGTACCGTGTACTTAACAGTATGTACATGTCTAGACTAGAAAATAAAGTTGTTTTTGTGCCGTACATCGTAATGTAGACACACTTTTTATTAAAATAATGTTGTGAATATAATAATATCATCTTTACAATATATTACTTACGACTGGAAATTAGTATAAATTATCCAAAAGATAGAGTTCAAATTCTAACTTCTTAGAAATTGAAAGTTGTTCTTCCAGCCTACTCTAACATAAAAAAAATAAGTTCTCTAAATATATAACTATGGCATGAAAATAGGGCAACATTTGCTGAATACTATTAAGATGAAGGTCACAGTTTCTCCTTCTTTCGGCCTTAATAAATTGTTTCATAAGTGATACCATGCGAAAGGAAGAAACCCATAATTTAGCAGTTAGACCACGTTACTAGATAATTTTTAAATTTTGAAGCTAATTCTTTGACGCATTTTTCTTGGTCTTCTTCAAGTATTACCTACTTGTCAAAATTGCACAGAATTTCTTTTAGTCCTGCGTGTTGGTCTGGTGATAAATCAATTTCCTGCATGATCAATTTGGCGAGATGGACACGTGTTCTGCAGGGACGAGAGTATCTATGACCTGCATTGAGATTCTCATTTTTCAATACGGCACGTGTTGAGACGACTATCTTCGTTCCACAGAATGCGATTCTTATGTAATGTCTTTCTCTATTTGATTCGTTACGTGTTGAGTTCGCACATCAGAATCCCTGTCCAGATAACATCTTTTTAAGTGAGTTCGGTGCAAAAATTGTACTTTGTAGCTCGATTAATCCACTACCATTCATAATATACCCTATAGGGACCGTGCGTGAAATATAGAGGCAGCACTACTGCCGAACTTAGCCCACTCTAGTGTTTAATTTTAGAATTAAATGGGGTAAACATTGCAAGTAAATAATGAAGGGTATTTTTTTAAATATTAAATATAGTTAAAAATAGATACCGGCCCGTACCAAACAATCGTGTACATGGTCAAAATGACGTAAAATGTGAAACATTATTAAAATCTGGACATGTATATACATTTTAAGCAAAAAGATTTAAATGGCTAAGTGACAATAAATTGTAAAGTTGTACCTTAAACAAGTGTATCCAATGTTAAAATATAGGTATTTAGTAACACTGAATTTAAAAGTATTACAATAACATTTAAAAAATGTAAATTAATAAAAAAGATTGATAATAATAATTATAAATCTTTTTAGCTTTATGTTAATCGAAATGTCATTCATCCACTGGCGCTTATGAGATGTTCAATGATACATATATTATAGATTGCTCACCCAACTATAAAAAAATTATGAAAAGCTGGTTGCAATGTGCCTTTCCTAGTGCTCACTAAATAGAGCCGTTCTAGCCCAAATGTGTTAAAATTAAATTTCAGCATTTTAATCTTTAGAAAAAGATAATAATTAAAGTTTTACTTCAAGACATGTCATTATGTATTTGGAAAGTTGAGTTTTCATGTAGTTAAATAATATTAAGAGATCTAAACAATTTTTATAACAGATGGATATAAATAATTTTAGACTACTATTTCAGAAACAATTCTACATAAAATACATAATTGCAATATGTAATAAAATTTTGAAAAGGTAATGTAAACAATTTTGATATGAGGTATGAACAACTTTGGTAAGAGTTGTAATTGGACACTTATCTATTATTCTGAATAATGTTTAATGGTAATGTTACTAAAAAAATTTACAAAAAATCACTGGATTTTTAATATTTTAAAGTTTGTTACAATCTCTTTTGACAGTAATTGCAATGTATTATTTATGATTTGTTTATTTTAATAATAAATGAGAAATAGTTAATAAATTGTAAAGAGGGCCGTGATATTTTTGTCAAATTGGATATTCTTATTTCATAACATTCTACATTAGTTTTAATCAACAGAATAAACCATTATCTGTAAAATTATATTTATATAAAATGGTCATTTAAATATGTAAAAATCTTAATGACAAGAAAACACTAAAGATTCTAATTTTTCTGTAAATGATTTCTTTACAACTAAGTGCTCAAAATTGATACAAGCTAGATAAAAAGAAAACTTTGCCCAGTGAAATACGCTTTTCGTCGTCTGATTTACATATGGATAAGCAATCTTTGTAATTATGTATATCATTGGGTGTGAGGCATAATTGTGCTCTGTGGAAATTTATAAAATTTCTTTACTATCGAATGAAATCCAGGTTTCTAAAGTGATGTGTTTGTACATCCACGGATGCAACAAGTTTTTTCGATATTGATATTACGAAAATAATTCGACTTCATTTTATTAATAATTATTAAACAATAAATGCCGTATAAAACATTAATAAATACCCCCAAAAAGTTCACATTTTTGTCACTAGTTAGCGTTAAAGTCATGACGCACGGTCCCTATGGCTCCCATGAACAACATCAATAAATGAAAGCCACCTAATCGTATGACATGTTTGCTGATTTATTGACGTTTCTCAGAGGCTGATGCTAAAACAGTAAAAATTATGTCGGAGTTAGTTGGTGGTGCATTAATGAATGGCAAACAAGCTATAAAAGATTTCTGATATAAATGGTTTACTGTCACTTCTTCCATAAATCCATTCCATCCAGGTATATTGGGCAAATCAGCCCATTTCCTGTAGAGCCACAGCAGATCTGCAGTTGACGACATTATTGTAATTGCGACTGAAGAAATAGTACGGAGATCTAAAATAGGAATTCCCTGTAGACTGGAAAAGTTTATCTTCTCATGGCTGCGTAGTGCAATGCTACCAGAATCTTCGATGTACTGAGCTGACGGTATTTTTGTAATCAGGAGCAATGGCATTTGCGGGCGTTATACAATGGATGCCTCCCATGGCATGAACAGTGTTTCTGTTATCCAGGGTTCGAGTATTAAAGTCTGCATTGTCGAAAACGAACTGTGAAGTGACACTCCCGTTAATACCCAAAGGACGGCGCATCAAATCCGAAACTTTAAAAAGTGTTGCTTCCGTGTACGAGGAACAAAATTCTAGTGAAGCCAAGGTGTCAATCAGCTTACGAGATTCGTATCCAACTTTTAGTCTCGAGCGGTAGGCTCAATGAATAAAATTCGTATTGCTTTGTACGCTGCGTACTTGCTCAACTTTGTAATTCTCGTACACGAAAACGGTTAGTTTTATGAAAAAAATAATAAGAACCAATTTGGTAAAGAAAATTATGTAGTTTAATTTACTACATAACCATTTTTACTGCAAAAGCAACGAGTAACGAGATATTTTAAAAAAATCTCTTTTTTTACAATTTATTGCAATATGGCGGTGACAGCGGCAAAGATACGAGGTGGCAAAATAAAAATTCGGAAAAAGCAGCTCAAAATACGTAGAATCACAAAATATCAAAACTTCCGCGAATTTTTCCAGGTAAATTTACGTAGTTACTGGACTAATATTTCTGTAGAATAATTTTAAAACGATTTAATAAATACTTAATTTAGTACTGTGACTTGGACGGGTTAGCTTAACTTTAAACCTAATGTTTATATTGTGAACATATTCTTTCTTTTAAATTAAGTCACTTAAATTTTCTCATCTGCATAGTTAGCTTGGAGTAGAATAAGTGAATTACATAGAATTATTATAGTTCTTTAAATTTAAAAATTCACACAAATAGAGAAGTTTTGAACTACAGTAAGCTGTTTCAACCATATTGGAAATATGGTTTGAAAATTTAAGTGTATCACATATGTGCAGACCCAAATTTCAAGCTCATAAAACTAGGAATACTTGCTGACCATGTTTGGATATATTGAACTTATTGTGTATCAACGTTCAGTTGGTATTCGTCCAAACAATAATAATTGTACTTTAGACTTAGCATGGAAGCGGGGGAAGCACCGCTTCCCTACACTTTGAAATTTAAAAATAAATGCTGTAAAGTTTACAATGCATAGAAATTAATATTAAATTAGGTACTATATTTTCTCTGAAACATTACGTAAACTTCGTAAATCTACTAACAATTCATTGGTGTAATTGTAAACACCATATACTTCGAGTTCGTCGGCGGAAACGCATCTTGAAATAACCGGTTCATCTTGCAAGTGATTTCGCATAGTGTTATTGACCCTGCTTTGCCGCGACAGTGTCAGTTTGTTTGTACACGTGAAATACGATCGAGAGGCAGCGATTATTACGTCGCCTTACGCATATTGCAATTCGCACCGCGAATCGACGTGTTAGGAAAAACTTAGATTTTAGGTAGATTTCGGTTTGTTTTTCGTAGTTGTTTTTCTTTTTGTAAAATGGAGGAACTATGCACTGTGTCTGTGAACAATAATAATATGGAAAATTGTGTATTTTGTGCTCTTTATTGAAAAAAGGATTTTCAAGTAGAAATCTTGAAGAGAAAACGTACATTATTAATTCTAATAGACTAAAAGATCCTATCAATTTAGAGACGAAAGTAGAAAAATCAGCAAAGAAATGTACCAGGCATTTTCACGTAGGGTTCTATGAAAAGTATGAATGATTTACCGGCTGCAAAACTTTGAAGAAATTGTTTTGCTGGCCTTGTCTACTTTTTACTATAGCCGAAAAAACACATTGGAACTCAGCAAATCTCATATAAGTGCTACAATTAAAGAAAAAACATTTGGGACCTATCGCATTGAACATAGTTTGGACAACCATTTAAAAATAAGCAACAAAATTCACAATGAAAGGGTAAAAAAATAGGGACGTCTTACGACGATTAATAGATGTAACTTGTTTCCTGGGAGAGCATGAACTAAGTTTTAGGGGTCACAATGAAGCAAGTGGATCCTCCGATGGAGGAAATTACATATACCTAAGTTTTTTAGTAAAATACGATGATACCCTAAAAAAATCATTTTATTGATTCGACGACTTTCCGAGGTACCTTAAACAGAATCCAAAATGATTTAATTAAATGCACTGCCGACGTTGTGATGGATCACATTAAAAGTGAAATTAAAAAAGCACTTTTCGTATCAATCGCACTTGATGAAACCACAGATGTAGCAAACTTAAGTCAATTATCCATTGTTGTGCGATATGTATTGGATGGAATTCCTCAAGAGCGATCCTTAGGATTTTTGGACGTCACTAGCGAACGAACTGCGAATGCATTGTTTAAAATTATTTGTGACATTATTTAAATTTAGAATGTGGTTCTAACCTTGTTTCCCAGAGCTACGATAATGCTGCCGTAATGGCTGTACATTTAGGAGTCCTTCAAGCTAAGATGAAAGAGAAGTTTAAACATGCAATTTTCGTTCACTGTATAGCACATAGACTTAATTTGGTTTTATCGCGAAGCATGGATAATATTAAAGATTGCAAAGTTTTCTTTTCGACGCTTAGTAGTCATCGAAAAGAATTGGCGCTTTGGACGTTCACGTTCGAAGAAGGTTTCCAAAAGTTGCTCCGACGCGATGGAACTACAATGGACGTTTAGTGCAAATAGTGTTTCAATACCGTGATTCTTTGATAAACTTTTTTTAAGAAGTTTGGGATAATAAAGAAACATGGGATGCTGAAACTGTTACTGCTGCTAAAAGGGTATTTGCATTGGCTCAAACAAAATTTTGATTTCAATTTAAACAAATTGATGATTTTAAAAATAAAATGAATAAAAACCGTGATCAGTTTTGGAAAAAGACTCAAAATATTGGCTTAGAACCTGAAAGAAAGAGAATTAGAATTGATAATGTCGGCGACAGAGACCTCTTATCGTCGATTATTTTTTTCGTATAACTTTTAACCAATTAGAACGTTCAATTTAGTTAAGTTACCTCGTATAATTTCGATAATACCTGAATATACATAGAGTAGCTCCACCAATCAAAAATATTTACAATAATTTCATTTCCGTAGTAACCACATCGACAACAATACACTAACTAACAGGACCGTCAAATTTTGACGTTTATCAATAATTATTTTAAAATGAGTCGAATTAATAAATTGTTGACATTTACTTAATTTACTCAAAAAATAATCGTATCAAATACAATACGTACTTCAAAATAAATACGGTTATACATCTCAAACTTCCTGCATAATCCTCCCGCTTCGCGGTCGGATTATTTAAACTGTCAAACTGACACTATTTATAATTATGCAACAAGTTATCGATGTATAACCTGATTATTTTGAAGTACTTATAGTATTACTACTGATTATACGCCGGAATTTTTGATAATATTCTACAACAAATGAACACTCGATTTCAAAACTTTAACGAATTAAAATTTGTTGAATTGTGCAATTTTAATATTAGTAACTACGATTCATCAAAATTTCCATGGGAAGCTTTTAATTCACTAAAATTAAATTATGGAAATTTTTTCGATATTCTAGAATTAAAGTCCCAGTTAAGTGTTGTTTATGAAACAACTGAAATTAGTGATAAAAAGACGTCTTTCAATGTGTTAAATTTTCTTATAACAACTGGTTTTAATAAGTCTCTTCGTGAAGTCGTCAAGTTGTGTGAATTAGTACTAACCATCGCTTCCCCTTCCAAAAATGTCACCGCTCGCCACTGGCTGGATTAATGTCTAAACAATATTTTTCTGATAAGCTTATAAAAGCTAATAATACATCTTCCATATTTTTGCTCAAATCTTTTTGTTTGTCTATTTCTTTAAAAAGTTCCACATTCTCTTCTAAAATTTCATATGTATTATCATGTAAATGTCTTCTATATTTCTGTCAATCATTTTAATTCTTATATAATTCCTAATTTTTTTTTCAATTTATGTAAAATTTATTCTCCTCTTTATCTCCTCTTCTTTTATCTTCTACTTCTCTTATTAATTCTTCTAATTTCTTTTCCATTTTCTTTCCCATTCCATCTATGTTTTGTTTCATTTTTCCATCATCTGCATCATCTTTTCTCTGTCTTCTCTTCTAAATTTCTTCTTTGTCTTCTCTTCTATTTTCATCGTATTCATATCCATTTTCCATAAATTTATGCTATGTGTCAGCTTCCAAAACATATTCATACAAAATTTCATTGCAATGCCAGTAGTTTCGACATATTCGTAAAAAATTGTTTACTGAGCACAACCAACTTATTTAGTAGTGTTCTACCTGTCCTAGCAACCTTTTTTTGAAACACCCTGTATATATTTGATTGGTAAGTTTTTGTATTAATACATATTAGTTAAAATATAATAAATTTTAGTTGAGGACATAATAAATATGTTGATAAAAACTCTTGTAGTGATTATGGAACTGACTCTCTGACTACCCCCATTGTTAATTATTAATATTTCCTAAAGTGTAGAACTTGTGTTTTAGAACAAGAAAAATGGGCCAGAATTGTGACACATTTCATGTTATTTTGAATCAGAACTATACCAGTCTGCTCTACTAATAATACTCTTACCACATTACGAACTAATAATGATTTATTTTCATATCACTCATATACAAGTCGTTCCATCACAAGTCTCTGATTCAAAGGGTAACGCGAATAACGGCGCAGACGCTCTCCGCCGCGACGGCTAGCTTCCTATTCCCCCTTTTACAAACGCGAGCGCCGCGTGATGAACGGCGTCGCGGCGTTTACTCATCCGTATGTCGATGCCGGCTGGCCAGCGTCGCGTTTTTTCAAATCAAATATCCCAATGTCTAGTTTTTTCGTGGTTTGTGTGAATTGAAACAGAAAAAAAAATCGAATCGGGATATCAGGATATCGAATAGCGTTGAATTTTTGTTGTTTGTTTCTGTGTTAGATTGGCAGGTGTGTGTGGGGTAAACAGTCAGTCGTGTGTTTTTGTTTTGTGTTCCAGTTTGATTAGCACTAGGGGATTAAGCAGACTGGATTCAGTAATTTGAGAATCAGGTAATAGGGGAATATATCCTTGTTAGAAAGGGTTATTAATTACATAATTATCATTGTAATTTGTTATGGTTTGGTAGTAGTTTAGCCAAATCGATAAGTATACATTTATGATTATACTGTAAACTGTTGAATGCTTCTTAATTTTATTGCAATTATCTTTATATTTTACCGGGTACACAGATAAGAAATTTATAATTATTAATTTGTTTTCAAATAATAAAAGGAGGTTATTTGTCCTAAAAGAATAAAGTACAAATGCTGGGAAGATTAGCCTACGGATATTCTTATACATAACCTAAAACAAAATATATATAAAGTAATATAAATTATTAAAAAAAATTAAAAGTAAGTTTATATACCGGGTGTTCAAATTAAAGTGTTACAGTTAATTACCGCCTTTTATAAAAAATTATTTCAGACCAAAGTTTTATATTTTTTTGGGGTAAACATTTTGGCTAAAATCTTTTTTTATAGCTAACTATAATATGGTCAACTTTCTTTTCCCGCAGCAAAATTTTTAAGTAAGTGTTACTCAGTAAG